ACGGAACTACTATAGGTATCACCTCACACCTGCAAGAATGGCTACCATCAATAAATCAACAAACAGTAAGTGTTGGAGAGGATGTGGAGAAATTAGTGGTTGGTCAAAATAGTGAAAGCACAAATGAGTTCTCTAGGGAGATCGGTAGCACACAAGGTATCTGAATTGGCCATAATATCCTAAAGGTATGCCCTGGCATAAACAGAACATAACAATTTAGGGACATTTGTAACCTCAACTATCAAGGATAATGCCTAAGACATGTCAAGCTCTTGCACTAGAGGATTCAGGTTGCCTGATGCAACTGAAAGGGTAACAGAATCCTGCCTCTAAAAGGGTTGGCAAACTTTTTTCTGTAAAGGTCCACATAGAAATATTTCAAACGTTCTGGGCCATCCTGCCTTTAAGCAACTATTCACTTCTGCCACTATAACATGAAAGCAGTAATAATGCATAACCAAATGTGCACAGCTGTTTCAATGAATACTGACAAAAACAAGTGTAGACCATAGTTGGCCAATCCCTCCTCTAGGACACCGTGTCTGCATCATGCATTGTGTGGCTGCACCATCTGTAAGAACAGGGAGGAAACTCCACAGAAACCCACACGCTGGGTACTTGCTTAGCGATAAACATCTGTGCAAGAATTGTCTAGGTCTGGCTTTCATGACAGGTAGGCAGTAAAGCTGTCGAGAAGCGGCTCAACTTCACCTCCCTCTAGCTTTCTAGCAACGATTCTTATGCACCAGGAGGAACCTCACAGCTGCATATCAAGTTAAACTGATGCCAGTTTGCAGAGATGCTTCACTGCTGTTTTAATGGCCCTATCACTATGATGTGGATTATTAAGACAAGTGAACTTTATGTCAAAAAAAAAAAAGGAATAAAAATTAGGTTAAAATAAGTCAAAGGGCACCAGAAAGCTTTGAGGACTGGGATACATGCTGCAGCCCAGAACCCAGATGGCTGTTCCCTCATGTCCTAAAAACTAACTTGCAAAGAATTGTAATCATGGGTTATGCATAAGTTCTTTGATTAATCTCTCTCC